TCAGTCTATGGAAAATGCTTGTGTGAAAGGTATCCTTTGGAAGACAATATCCTATAGTGGTCAGAAGTCGGGGCTTTATGGTCAAAGATGCTGAATTTGAATCTTGCCTTCAATATGTGACCTTAGGCAAATATATCATTTCTCTGGTTCTCTTTCTCTCATGAATACATTGAGTAAACTATTGCATTCAATTCTAGAAAATATATTTTATAAGGCTAGGAATTCTGTTTTAGTACCTAGAATTTGGCATCTGAAAAATAGTACCTGGTAGAAGGTAAGCTCTATGAAAACAAGAGTGGATCGTTGCCCTAGAATATCACCTGATACATAGTAGATACTCCATAGGTAATTGTTGACTGGACAAATTAATGATGGTTAAATGACTGTTACCAAACACTTAAGATTATTATCAAGATTAAGTTAGGTAACTCAAGTCAGCACATAGCACAGTGCCCATCATAGAGTAATCAATGAGAGTCAGCTGCCACCATTTTTAATTGGGGCATGCTTCTCAAGTACCACCAGCCGCTTTCCTCATCCCAGGAATCTGACCTTGGTAGAATGAGACAATATATGTAGAACCACTTCAAGTCATAATTGATTGTCTGTAATCACAATTGATAGATATCTTGTCTCAGATAGAAACAAGATAAATCAAATGAATGTATGATCCCTTTATCCCAAATGAAAATCACTCTCTAATTTTCTTGGCTTTTGTATACCACCAGCCAAAGGGAAACTCTCAAAGCTTGGGCATCTCCCAGTACTTTTAATAGGCTGATGCAAAAGTAATTGCAAAGTTGTATTGTTTTGTTTATTGTGCTTCTCCCATTAGTTTATAATCCAATATCTACCTTGTCAAGATTTATTTTTCTGAACAGGTTAGTACTTCAGTTGGTCTTCTGACCTGATTATTTCCTCCTCAGAAATGGAGATTGTGATCTAGAAATCCAATAGACCTATTTGATTGTATGAGCATAATTAAAAGATATAATGTATGTAAAGCACCTATAGCCATGGCTGCCAAATAACTGGGGTCAATACATTCATTTTATTATAGCCATAGAGAGGAATTATATAAACATCAATGTATTGGGTGACCAGTATGGACAAATACCATGGACTGTATACTTGAGGGATAGTGTTCAAGAAATACTAAATATTAATAAATGAAGACTGATTTGATAATATCCTACTAACACAATAATAAAAATATATTTTAAAAGCAAATTCACTAAAGCTACACTAAATACATTATCCATTTATTTAATTTTTAGAGGAATTTTTTAAATATAAACATATATATACATCATTCAAAGTAGTAATATTTGTCTTAACTATATTGGTATAGTGCTTTTAAGTCTATAACATATTAACATATGGTAGTATTGCCTTTAAAGTGTTGCAGAAATACACCTGAAGCACTCTACAAGACACCAATTGGGGTAGAAAGAGAAAAACTTCACTATCTTTTCTGCATAACCAATGTTTTTAAAGTTTGAATAGGCTTTGTAAACTCAGAAGATCATTAACGTCCTATGTGTGGTAATATTTATACACATATAGTGGTTTTAGCACCCTCTTGTAAATTTGTTTTCCATATGAAAGAAATTAAATTCATTAAATAAAATGCTCTTTCAAAAACTCACCAACTCACAGAGTTTCATGCCACTGGAACTAAAAATATTTACACAACTTCCTCTGGCCACGTATTGCCTTAAGTAAGTGTAGGCCTGCTTTCCACAAATTGAAAAGAAATTGGGAGTCTTCAGAAGCCCCTTTTCCATGCTTTTTGGCGATGCAGTACTTTCTGAAGCATGAAACGTGGGCCTGAGCAACCAGGGGCTGTTTCTAACAGTGAAAATGTTACCTATTGAAGGTCTCCAGTGCCACCTACTGGTAGAGGAGCAATTTGGAAAAGCAGAATCTTAAAACGTAAAAAAGCTAGTTTTTTGCTGTTTATTCTACAGATGATGAGTCAGTGTCATTTGGAGGGTTACAGAGTGACAGCTAGCTAAACAAAATGGTGAATAATTAATCTAGCACTGATGTTGTCTGTTATTCATTTAAGCATCTGTGCAATTTTTATTCTACCATTTATTGTTTCCCTGCTATTGAGACATTACCTTAGGTGCTGGGGTGCAGATCTTGCTCTTGCTTTAAGGAGCTCAATATGTAGGTGAGGAGATGCATGCACACAACTAGATCCCAAGGTTTTAAGTGCTATTAACAGGCCCACTTCCTCATCATTCTCTGTCTGGGAGAGAGCCAGAGAAAGATGTGTGAACTGAGCATTGAAAAATAAGTAGGATCATCGAACACAGTGGGATCTTATGATGAGAAAACAACATCTCCAAGTCATCAAAACTTGCAATAATGCGTCGTGTGTTAGAAGCGAGTGGTTTAAGTACAGTTGGTTTAAGTGATATCATGAGCAGGTGAGAAGACTGGATAATACGGCAAAGCCCGTGCTAAAGTTTTTGATATTCTATGCTGAAGATTTTGGAATTGATCTTGTTTACATTTAGGAGACACTGAAGGATTTTTAAGCCCCCAGGTACCATGATCAGGTTTGCTTTTTAGAAACGATACTGTGATAGGGAAAGAAGGAATGGACAGATGTGGGAGGCAAGACTGGCAGTCAGGAACTCGGGAGAGGTTATTACAATAGGCCTGGAGAGTGTGGACTAGGACTTCAGCCAGAGGAGGCAGGAGAGAGAAGGGAGGGATTGTAGAAGTAGTAATATGGGAGAAGAATGGCCTCAAAGAAGCCGCAAGAGGCTTATGACTAACGCAGATCATGGCATCACAGTCACAAGCACCAAGTCCACTACCACGAAAGGTTTCACCTGTTAACTCACTTACTGCATGCAGTTCTCGTCCAGTGGCAGTTCATGTGTATCCTGATGCCTCATTCAGCTCACCAAAGGAAGAAGCTGTCAGTAGAAATAAGCAGAGAACCTTGTAAGAGGATGTACCAAACTATTCATCCTTCCCTTGCCATTGATGATCTCACACACACACACACACACACACACACACACACACACACACACATATACACACCTTCACACAAACCAAATAGGGGTGGTGTTTCATGTTATATCACATGGACCTGTCTTTTGGCATGTTATTGAAGACACTGTTGCTTCCATCTGTGATGTTAGACATTCTTGCTGTAATGACTGACTTGTGCCAGTGGCTTATAAAGCCATTTCATGTGTGTTGTATCATTTAATTCTCACAGCAATTATACGCAATGAATAGCCCATAAATCATTATGCATGCCATTTTACAAATGAAAAGACTAAATCCAGAAAGCTTAAACGACATTTCCAAGGTCACACAGCTGACAAGTTGTAGTGTCAATATTTCATTTTCTTTTTCTTTCTTTCTTTTTTTTTTTTTTTTTGACGGAGTCTTGCTCTGTCGCCCAGGCTGGAGTGCAGTGGCAAGATCTTGGCTCACTGCAACCTCCCCATCCTGGGTTCAAGCGATTCTCCTGCGTGAGCCTCCTGAGTAGCTGGTATTATAGGCATGCACCACCACGCCTGGCTAATTTTTGTATTTTCAGTAAAGACAAGGTTTCACCATATTGGTCAGGCTGGTCTCGAACTCCTGACCTTGTGATCTGCCCACCTCAGTCTCCCAAAGTGCTGGGATTACAGGCGTGAACCACCACGCCTGGGCAGGATTTCGTTTTCTACTTTACCTTGCTATCTAAGGAACTGAACAGATTTGTTACTGTAAGAGGAGAACCTGCCATTTATACACAACTACCATCATGGGAAGGGCAGTAAATTTTATAGCAAGTATTGGCATTAAAATGCAGACAAATGCTAGATGATTGGACTATGAGAAGATCATCTTGGATGGTATTGAGACAAAGAAGAGGTATAGTGACTATGCTCCAAAAACAAGATGGCTTTGATTTTGGCTATTCAAACAATTAACTAAAATTAAAGTGCATATCACCTCCAATTATTACAACACAATAACGTGCTACTTTACCTGTAATTTGGGTTTTTACTTTCTATTATTTTAAGATGGTTCAAATCCTTATATAGAAATAGCTAGCTTTATTATAATGTCTTATAACTGCCACTCTGAAAAGAGTCAAATGTATCTAAGATGCTCAAATACCATAAATCACCCTCTTTATTTAAAAAATTATTTTCTGTACAATTATTTTTTGCCATATATACTGCATACTGAAACCTTTTGCTCATCAGTAACAAAGACAGAGATTTTTTTTTCTACAGCCTTCAAAGTTATCTATTTTAGACTTTTCATATCTTGATCTTCTCAGCTCTCTTTTTGATTGATCTTTCTGCAAACCAAAAGTGGAGATTTTTCTCACTTCCTGTCCCAGAAGGCAGCTACAAGCCCAGATCAAACCTTTCATGATGACTATTCTCAGGATTGTCTTTTCCTCAAAGTGGCTGAATATGTCAAAATCTTGTCCCTGCTTCTGCTGTATGACATGCAAATGTCTAAAGAGAATGTAACTGAAATTCTATCATTTTAAACATTACAACCAGTTCAACCATAGGACAAGCTATATTTTTCTATCATCATACTTCCTTCTTGAAGATGAAAGGAAATCATTTAATAATAGTAGATATGGCATGCCCAGAGAAAAGTATCATGTTATTAAGTCAAATATGAAATGTAGGCACTAGTATTATTAACATAGTGTTTACAGGTAAATTTCAAAAATCCACTCGTTTTTGTGGTTGAAGTATCTCTTCTTTTTTGTTGTAGATCTAAAAGTGTCTTGGTACAGCAAAGACAAGAAAATCAAGCCATCTCGGTTCTTTAGAATGACTCAATTTGAAGACACTTACCAACTGGAAATTGCCGAAGCTTATCCAGAAGATGAAGGAACTTACACGTTTGTTGCTAGTAATGCTGTAGGCCAAGTGTCAAGCACAGCCAACCTAAGTCTGGAAGGTAAAGTAAAACAAATTTCAGAACCCCATTTAAATATAGATCGAATCTTACAATGTCTGTAACAATTACTCAAGAGTTCATGTAAATCATCGTTGTTCCTACCATTCTCTTCTAATTCAACTAATTATTTCCATGTTATATGCCATGTTCTCGTTTCTCCTTTACCACTTTTCATTGTGAATCATAGACCATCATGTTTCATTTGGCCCCGCTTTTTCTCTGTAACAATTTGTAATGTATTGCTGCTGTCACCAGCTGTCATGCTTCCTGATCAGCATGAATCAGAAGGGGGCAAAATATGCTGAAGAAATAGGTAGATTTGTTTTCTCAATTGGCTAAGATAAAAATTATATTTTAAAAACATCTAAGAGTGTTATCCTCCTATCGTGCTGACACAATTTTGATTTCACAAAAGCTAGACCATTTCAGGTCTATACACCAGCGAGTTATATTCACCCTCCTTTCAAGAATGTCTGAGTGTTAAGGAGTGCAGTCCTAAAGTGGTTTAACATTTCTCTGAGTTAGGGCTCTTAAACTGTAATCAGAAACACTTCCTCAGTAACACGGGGACTTTGATTCAAACAAGGATAGCATTTTTATATAGTGGGACTATTTTTCCTTAGCAAATACAGTCTATGTAGTATTAAGTACATACAAATACACAAAGATTTAGAGAAACTTCTATTTTTTTCTTAACTTTATGCATTAACTGTAACTAGATGTTTGTTAAATAATGAATTTAAAGTGGTTTATAAAATAAAAAAGTTGACTTTACAACCAGAGGAAGAAAGAAAAGAATACCTGAACCCTGGTGGATACTCCACTATTGCCTTCATGAACAATGTAGTGAAGTTCCTTAGTCCATTCATGTCTCAGCTTGCTTCTCTGGGAAATGGAAGGGAACTTGTGTGACTTTGAATCAATAGTGATATACAAGGACAAGGCATTAGGATTGGAATGAATTCTAGTCCATTATTGGAATTTGTGACAAATCTGTAGACAACTCCAAATAAGTTCTGGTTTCAATGCAAGGTAAGACATTAAAAATTGGTATGCTTCTTTTCAGGATTTAGCAAATTTGAAGAACATACATCAAACTCCCAATGGCATGTCTCTTTATCAGTTTCATTTAAGAAGGAGCCCCTTGGCCAAAAGCCCAGCTTCATCCAGCCTCTGTCAAGCCTCAGGGTGCACAGCGGGGAGACAGTCAGATTTCATGCGAGGGTTTCTGGCATTCCCAAGCCAGAAATCCAATGGTTTCGTAACCAGCAGCTAATTCTACCAACAAAAGATGTAGTTTTCCATTTTGAGGAGTCCACAGGCATGGCTTTAATGCTTATAGTTGATGCTTACTCAGAGCATGCTGGGCAGTACTCTTGCAAAGCAACCAATAGTGCTGGGGAAGCCACTTGTGCAGCTACACTCACAGTGACTCCAACAGGTAAAGCCCATCTTGCTTCAAGGACTTTGATTTGCTGTATACCTCTCAGTCCCACTGTTACTAATGAGAGTCTCTGTTGTTTGTTTTATTGCATACTGTGGTCAGTCCATAACTTACTAATAAAATAACATGCAATAACTTCCCTTAGGACTTCAATTATGGGTTAACCTACACACTTTAAATTTCACTGGAGTATCTGTTCTATGCCCCAGAGAACCAGTAATGATTTTATTAGGCACCATCTTTGCTTGGCTTCTTTACTCTTCTAAGCAACATTGTATCATTGCATCATTAAATTATCTATTTGCTGAGTATTACTTATAAAGCATACAGTGGACGGAGAGCAAATGCTACCCCAAATATAGTCAGCTACAGTGAGAGAGAGAAAGAGAGACTGGGTCACTTTGGATAGCTGAAATGACAACAGAAAGAAGGAACCAGATACTATATGGCATCTGCATGAGCCTTCATCAACCACTCATCACGGAATCACTGGGAATGAATTTTCTTTTGTGTGATCCTGACATCTAGATCATACTGCATCTGGCATGCTGCTTCCACGTGACAATTATGTCTTTCATCTTCATCTTCCATGCCATTTTGTGTTACTAACATGGGCAAGTGACAAAGCTTAGATCTTAATATTCTTTTCTTTTTCTTGTCACTTGATTATACAGTGCAAGCCCTAGATAGGCAAAGTTCTGGGAAAGATGTAAGAGAGTCCACCAAGTCCCAGGCAGTGGCAGATTCCTCTTTCACAAAGGAGGACAGCAAAATATCTCAAAAGGATATTAAGTCATATCAAGGATCATCATATGAATATGAAGTGCAGGTTTTTGAAAGTGTATCTCAAAGTTCCATCCACACAGCTGCATCCATTCAAGATATACAGTTGCGCCATACTGCATCCCTTTCAGAAATTGCAGAAAGCACTGAGCTATCTAAGGAATGTGCCGAAGAGTCCACAGGTGAGGCGCCCAAGATTCTCCTGCATCTTCAGGACATCACTGTAAAGTGTGGTGATACGGCTCAATTCCTGTGTGTTTTAAAAGACGATTCTTTCATTGATGTAACCTGGACTCATGAAGGTGCAAAGATAGAGGAATCCGAGAGACTGAAGCAATCACAAAATGGAAATATTCAGTTTCTTACCATATGTAAAGTTCAGCTGGCAGACCAAGGACTATACAGCTGCATTGTACACAATGACTGTGGAGAGAGGACAACATCAGCAGTACTAAGTGTAGAAGGTGGTTAATTGATTTTTAGCTATGACTTGCTTCATGTCATCCTCATTGCTTTATGCAGCTTTTCTGCCGTGCAAATTCAATCAATGAATATATTAATTAGAATATATCTAAACTAGCACCATATTCATAAATGACTTCTGAAAGTCAGCCAAGTCAATGACCATGATTATCCTGAAAATTTAACTTGCCAGTCTAGATTCAGAAAGTTTAATTTTTAAACGTAGATTCGAGAAGCAAAGGCTTATTTCCTATATGCTGCATTTTCTAATATTTACCAATGCGCCACCAAGAAAGTGTAGCAAAGTTAAAATGTTGTAGTCTGAGAAGTATTTATTGGGTATTTATTATTGTGCCGGATACTGTGGTAAATTTCAGTTTAATTGTTTTAAAGTAAGAGGTTCAACAATTCTTATCTCCTCTTCATTTTCACATCTGGAGGTTCTAGTTGTTTACAAAGGGGCCATGAAAATAGAAAATTGGGACCAAGTACAGTGGCTTATGCCTGTAATCCCAGCACTTTGGGAGGCCGAGGCAGCCAGATCACTTGAGGTCAGGAGTTCGAGACCAGTCAGGCTAATATGGTGAAACCCCATCTCTACTAAAAATACACAAATTAGCCAGGCATGTTGGTGCATTCCTGTAATCCCAACTACTCAGGAGGCTGAGGCAGGAGAATTGCTTGAACCCAGGAGGCAGTGGTTGCAATGAGCCAAAATAGGGTCACTGCACTCCAGCCTGGGCAACAGAGCTAGACTCCATCTCCAAAAAAGAAAAATAGAAAATTGGGTGCTGAAAATAACAAGGCTCTCTCTGGACCAAAATTAGAAGTCTCTAGATATTACTCCATAAATGATGCTGCTTTTACAGGCTTAAAATCCTCCTGGAATTGTAGAATTTTCTCATGGCAAGATCACAATTTTTGTCATTATTGGGCTTGATTCTCCATCATGTCTGGAAGAGCAGGAATAAACTTGTCTGGGCAAGTGATAACTTCTTCCTCTTATCGATGATCTTTCCTTTTGGATATTAATGAAATGAGAAAAATATTTTTCAGGTGCTATAAGCCTGTGTTGTGTGCCTGTAGGCAAAACAGCTCCACTGAGTCTCATGGAAGGAAGGTGGTGGGAGAAGTTCAGGCATCTCCAGGGGTCTGTGGAAAGCTCTGGCCTCAAGTTCCTCCCTGATCCTGGCCATAGTGGTGTTAAGGATGAAAAGGGGGCAGTGCTATGGAGGTGCACAGTCATCTCTGCACAGAATTTTGAAACAGTGGCCTTTCTTCCTACCCAGTACAGAGAATATGGTTCGTTGATTCATATAATTTTTCTGCAACACCTGCTCACCAAAAGGAGGTCTTATTCTTTCTTAATGAGATTTTGTTCTAAAGCTCTATCTCATTCTGTCACCACAGCCTGCAAAGGCAATATCTCAAGAACTGAGGTTTAGTTATGTAAATTAGATAGAAAATTCCACCAGCCAGAGAGTTGACCCTCAATTTCACTGCAGCTGCTGGCTAGCACAGTAATCACACAGAGTGACTATTTATTTGGAGGTGTTGTCTGCAAGTTTTGTAGGTGACAGTGTGACAACTTTTTCGGAAATGTAATTGGGAGTTGGCTGTCTTGTGAAGGTGGGAGAAATGTAGATTAGATCTATTAAATCAGTTCCTAAAGAATCTAGTGCTATAGTGCAGTGTTTGACTTTCATATTCCCAGAATTGATTTGAGCTTGGCTCTTTTGCCCTAGGATCTCCAGTTCATTGAGTTCCAATGGATAATATTATTAAAGTGTTCTTGAAGCAAAATAATTTTTTGAACATCCAACTGCCTTACTTGTACCTAAGAAAGTTGAAAGATAAGATATTTTTAGGTGTTTGAAGAGTGAAAGATCAGGCACAGTTGTCTAATTATTTGACATAGGCCAGTCTTTATATGTTCCTTTTTTATTTTGGCCTAATAAGTTCATATAGGCTACAGAGTTATCCACCAAGATCAAGCAGGAATGTCAAACCCCTGGAAGTCTGTTTGAATACAGTTCTTATGTGCATAATAAACATAGACATATCGTATATTAGTTTGATGACTAACATGCTGCCTTTCCTTCTCATCCTAATGACATTCCATCTTCTCCACATTCAGCATGTTTTTTAATCTTACAAACACAGCTAATTTATGCCTTTCCCTAACTTTATTCTTACCCAGCAAAAGAATCGCAAGCCAGAGCACTTACAAAAATTACTCTGGGTTCAGACACTAAAAGTATTAAAACACTCAAAGAGTCACAAATTAAAACAACCCCTGAAGTAAAAAGAGAATCGTCAAAGAAAACATCAAGTTTGTCATTAACTTCATGCCAAAAACCATAAGAAACTGAGAACAAGGGAATCAAGTCTACTGACAGGATACCACGTGGACTGAAGACAGAGTGATACGAGAGTCCCAGCCTTTCAGCTGCCCCAGAGATGATTGTGTCTAAAAACTGTGCATATTCCTTGTGTAATAAAAACAGTTTTGATAAGTCTTTGTTTTGTTCCTTAATATGTAATTGGACTTTGTATAGTTTAAAGTTTGAAAGGTGGTTCAAATCAAAGGAGTATTTACTAGCAGGAAAAACTGAGAATAGCCCTCTGCTAAAGTAGCAGTTTAGAAAATGCATGTTCTTTCTAAATGTGATTTCATCTCTTAGCAAGTGTTTAGTCAATAGGACATTTTTTTAGAAAATAATATTCCTTCAGTTTGTAGATTGCTTTCTGAATGCATGTAAAGGCATGGGGAATTATAGAACTAAAAGTGGAAATTTCATGAAGAACCTAAAATAAAAATGTTTTAAATCTTTCTGTCGACATTGCCATGTGTTTTATCAGCTCAATAGTTTGTTTGGCATGGACTTTTTGGTATATTTGGGGAATGCAGTTTTCTGTTATTATAATAAAAAGAAAATTTTAATCATATAAGTCATGAATTGATGCAGAAAGTATACGCAATTAATAACTAAAATCTCTTTATATGTTTTTCTATTTTAGCCCCTGAATCAATTTTGCATGAGAGGATTGAACAAGAGATTGAGATGGAAATGAAAGGTATTGTTATAATGGATGTGAGATTTAAGTAGAAATTCTAAGGGATTAATAGGATCCTTGAGTTGCCTTCTTTCTCTTAGTATTATTGAGAAAAAAAATGACATAGATGTACAAATATATCTCTTAGAGTATATATTACTATGTCGCATGCTTGGTTTAGAATGTTGATGGTTACATGCATTTCACAGTAATTTATCATAAGTTAATTTAAAATTTTGTATTTAAAATTTATAGCCATATTCAACTTTATGTTTGCAGTCATTTCCAAAAGTGTGTATTAGGAAAAGTTGTCATCTTAATGCATGAAATCATGAAGTAGAAGTTTGTTTTCAAAATCACAGTGAATTACACTGAACAATAGACAATAACCTAGCTGTCATTCTCAGAATGCAATGTCATGAATGAATTTTGATTGAAATGCTACTTTACTGAGGTTGTGTGAAAACATTACATTCCCATCTGGTTTACACTTCATGCACATACATCATTTTAACATTGATATGTCTCTTACACTGGCTTGCAGATAGCTGCCTTATGTGATCCTTATTGCCTGCTTTTCTTTGCATAACATTGTGATTTTATGGCTGTATTAGTTCGAATAAACGCCTTCTCATTTTATTTTAGCTAATTATTTATGGTTATAGTTCTTGCATATACTCTTTAAATAGTTAATTCTCAAAAATATAATAATTTAATCTACAATCAAAAGAATCAGAAAGGGCGTTTATTCCACTCTCTGCAAGTCAGGTAAGATTTTCCACTTAGCCATCAAAAGAACAAAGTTTTCCTGCTCTCAAAACAAATATGCACAGGAACATGTTATTTTGAAATGCATTTTTGCTTGTTCAAGAAGAAATTTCAACAGTTTGAAGAAAAGACCAGACAACGAACGATTTTCGTGTCAGAATCTTTTAAACAGAGCATGGTGTTGCGTTTATTCGAACAAATATGGTGAGTGAATTTTTCTATGGATTTGTGAGATCTGTAGCATGCGATTTATTTCATTTCCTATTTTGCAATTTTATTTACTTTCAACTTTTTCAAATTCTATGGAAAATAGTAAAAGGTTTTATTTTTTTTTTTTCCAGAATTATTCTCCGAGGGGGAATCTGAACATTCAGAAAGGGATACTCGTGATGCCTTTTCAGATTCTGAAGACATAGACCACAGCTCCATGGCTGCTAAAAGATATGCAAGTAGAATATCATCTACAAGCTCCTGGCCTGAATATTTTAAGCCTTCTTTTACCCAAAAACTTATGTTTAAATATGTTTTAGAGGGTGAACCAGTTGTTTTTACATGTAGATTAATTGCCTGTCCAACTCCAGAAATGACTTGGTTTCATAACAGTCGGCCCATTCCAACAGGTCTTCGTCGGATTATAAAAGCTGAGAGTGATTTACACCATCACTCTTCCAGCTTAGAGATTAAAAGGGTCCAAGACAGAGATTCTGGAAGTTATAGATTACTAGCAATTAATAGTGAAGGGTCTGCTGAATCAACTGCATCATTGCTTGTTATCCAAAAAGGGCAAGATGAGAAATATTTAGAATTTCTGAAAAGAGCAGAACAGACACATGAAAATGTGGAGGCTTTAGCTGAAAGGGGAGAAGACAGGATAAAGGTTGACCTGAGGTTTACTGGCTCTCCCTTTAACAAAAAACAAGATGTGGAACAAAAGGGAATGGTGAGAACTATACATTTTAAGACAATGAGTTCTGCCAAGAAAACAGATTACATGTATGATGAAGAATATTTAGAAAGTAAATCTGACATAAGAGGATGGCTTAATGTAGGTGAAAGTTTTCTGGACAGGGAGACCCAAGTGAAGTTGCAACGTTTAAGGGAGGCTAGAAAAATGTTAATGGAGAAAAAGAAATTATCTCTTTTAGATACGTCTACTGAAATAAGCTCAAGAATTTTGAGAAGTGAAGCTAGTGATAAAGATATTCTATTCTCTAGAGAGGACATGAAAATCAGATCTATGTCTGATCTAGCTGAAAGTTATAAGGTAAATAATTCAGCTGAGAGTATTGTGCAAAATCCACACGGCCTTTCTAATCAAATGGATCAAAATATAGACTCTGAGGAACTTCCCACAAGCTTTCAAACTATTGTTGATGAGGAAATTTTCCAGACTGAAATAAGAATGAGCCAAGAGTCATTGGCAAAAGAAAGTCTACCAAAAGACCATTTATATGGTGAAATTCTAGGAAATGAAAATACCCAAGCAAGAGGACAGCTGGAAGAAATTATGGCCAGTACTACAGTTGGAGAGTCACCCACATATATCACTAATATATGTGAGAAGGAGGAAGTATGTGAGACTCCTGAAAAGGTGTCTCAAGCTATTACACCACATGCCAGCGAATCTTTTGGTACACTTGTAAATGTTGAAGAAAGTGAAGAAATAGCTAGTGAAAGAATAAGAAAGGATGATGTAAGAGAATTACAACTCTCTGCTTCTACACAAATCGATGAATTCAAAACCGAACAGAAGGAGGAAAACTTGAGATTTTTTGAAAATTCTTTTCGAAAACGCCCACAACGTTGCCCACCTTCATTTCTTCAAGAAATTGAATCTCAAGAAATTTATGAAGGTGACAGTTGTAATTTCGTGTGCCATTTTCAAGGATATCCTCAACCTATCGTGACGTGGTATAACAATGACATGCCAATCCCACGTAATCAAAACTTTATCATTCATTCTTTGGAAAACTATTCAATATTAACTCTTCTGTCTGTTCATCATCAGAATGAAGGTTCTATTACTTGTGTGCTATTTAACCAATATGGAACAGTAAAAACAACCGGTATGCTTAAAGTGAAAGCAAAACAAAAACATGATGTCAAAACACATAAAATCCCAGTGTTCCATGACTACTTTGATGAGGAAGAAGAGCTAGCATTGGTGTTTGATCAAGCAAAAGGCGCCCACCCATCTATGAGTCAAGAGGGCCAAACAAATCTTCACGTGTTAAAAACTAACCCACCAGTTCCTCCCTCTGGAGATACAGAATTGCTTTCCTTTCCTGTAGAAATCCAGGTAACAGCAGCTACTCCTATCCCAGAAGAGGATAAAGAGATGTTTCAAACTGAGGAGCTAGAACCTGAAGCAATGCCTCAAGATCAAGCTACTCAGTCACCAAAACACAAATTTGTATTTTTGTCTGATGTTACTAATGAGCCACCAAAAATGTTACAAGAAATGCCAAAGCATGCCAGGTGTAGAGAAGGGGATTCCATCATTCTTGAATGTTTAATATCTGGTGAGCCCCAGCCAGTTGTAACATGGTTTCAAAATGGAGTCCTTTTAAAGCAGAATCAGAAGTTTCAGTTTGAAGAAGTTAATTGTAGCCACCGATTATATATTAAAGATGTTAGTTCTCAAGATTCTGGAAAATATAAATGTGTTGCTGAAAACAATTCAGGGACAGCTGAAAGTGTTTCAGATCTAACAGTGGAGCCTGTCACTTGTAGGGAGAATAGTCAATATGAAAATATTGGTGAAATTTATGGAAAATATTCCAGAGATCAGCAAGTGCAAGTCCAGGGAGAATCTGTAAGGGCACATTTTTATGATCATCCAGTTGGTCCTTTTACTCCCTGGGCAAATGTAAAAGAATATTCAGTAAGGGACTATTTTCAAAGCCTTGAGACCATTAAGCAGATAGACCAGAAAGACCAGGTGCGTTGCGTACCTTCTAGAGAAAAAATTCCCAGATTTGTGCGTGGTGCTTCAAGAACCATAAAAACCAACAAGCCCATCAGGGCTGAACTCATACAATGTCAGGCTGAAGGGAAAGAGAGACATGTAAGTGAAAAATCAAAGCTGCACCAAGCAGAGGGTACTGTTTATCCATTTGTTGATGATTTCAGTGATATCACTATTAAGAAAGACGTAGGAAACAATTTTGGAAAACTTGGTAGATCAGAAAAGGAAAATGTACAAGAATATGCCCAAAGTGACTATTTACCAAATATTCACTCTGAGAGAATTTCTGACAGTTACAATACAAAAGATTCATCTGCCGTTGCACATGAAGAATCCCTTGGTGAAGAGATATACTACCCGGGGGAAAAAGTGAAGCATAGAATTATCGAATTTGAAAAATTACATGTAGAAAAAAGAGTTCTAGAAAAAAGACCTACCAGAACATCATTCGTTAATCCTCCTCAAAAGAAGATTGATGACAAAGCCTTTTCATTAAAGCAAAGAGAATCAAGATCAAGTA